AACTCATCAAAAACTTTATTAAAAGACCCTGTAATTTGTTTCAAAGTTAAAATCTGTGGAAAACACAATGACTGCTGTTGCAAAATAAAACAATTTCGTTTTCAGTAATCATTGTTATTAGTTTTTTAATTTTATTTATTCATTTTCCGTTTATTTTTGCAATTATACTTTTATTTTTTTTCGAAGTTCGCCGCGGACTCCCTAGTTTGGGTCGGCGGACCACAGTTTGGGAAGCCCCGCCGTACACGATGGTGTACAGCGGTTTAGGGCTACCGGAAGAAAAAGTAATGGTCGACCTCGATTTACGACGGCTAGAGACTATCGTTTTACGGTTCTTCCCTTTCATTCAACTCCAAAGGGTGAGCACTAAAACAGCCATCAGATGGCTTCGTGATTGTATCCTAGAATCTAGAGTCCTGCATCAGGTGACCTACGACTGGAGAGGCATCGTGCAGAAAGGCGATTATTCGCAAATCAGCAACTCGCATGGACGTTTGAACAATGGTGAGATGTTCTCTTGACAGAAAAGTGTCAGTTTGGATTGTGCCTATCAGATGTCCGGGACCGTGGGTGTCCAGAAGACGTGGAGAACGTTTTGATTTATGTGCCATGCTGTTTTCAAGACCGTCAGTTATGGTACGGGGTGAAATCGACGTCTACGCCCATAGCGGACAGATTATCCTACAGAATGGTTATTTGACTATAATAAGGTACATTGAAGAAGTTATTCTGGAAGATTTGGTCCCATTTGCCACGATCCCGGAAACAATCTTCACAACTTCCTATAAAGTCTCAACGGACTATAAAGGAGCGGAAGAACACAGGAGAGCATCAGATACAATGATATGGTACACAGATGGCTCCAAAACAAACGAAGGAACCGGATCAGGCGTTTTCTGTACAAGCCCAAAACATAAGCAATCAAATTCATTAGGGAAGTACACTTCTGTCTTTCAAGCGGAAATACATGCCATCAATGCTTGTGCCCTGGAAAATCTTAAAAGAGGTTACACTGACAAAACAATCCTCATAAGATCAGATAGCCAAGCAGCTATTAAAGCATGTAAAAGAATCACATCAAAATTAGTCAGTGAATGCATCCAAAATCTGCAAAATCTGGGGAAACACAAGAATCTGATGATATCTTGGGTGCCAGGGCACAGGGGAATTTTGGGTAACGAGAGAGCAGACAGACTGGCCAGAAGAGGATCTGCAAGACCATAGGCCCCGAACCTATTCTTGGGATAACAAAAACAAATATAGAATCTTCCATCGCAGAATGAATCCAAGCAAAACAAAAGGAGAAGTGTATATACTCCAGCGGTGCTAGACATAGTAAACTTATGATGAAACAACCCTCACCGAGACTGGCAAAAACACTGCAATTGGAGAGGGCCAAACTCATAGGAGTGGTAGGACTACTAACCGGTCACTGGTATCTGAGAAAACATCTACACAACATGGGTATGTACAGCGATGACCCCATTTGCAGATTATGTAATGAGGAGTGTCATATCATCTTCGAATGCGAAGCAACAACTCAACTGAGATGAAACCTAACATATGGAAAAGACTTAGGGAATCAAATTGCAGCAGCAACAGTCAATGACCTGATACTTCTAAGAAGAAGGATTGAGTCTATTGACTGAACTAAGGAACTAGGAAGGTACAATAAGCCAGAAGGCTGCAGTGCCTGGGGAATACAAACCCCACTTCCTAGTATCCTTTTCCACCATACCATACCCATTCACCATAAATTTGATGATTGATGATAGGGATTACCTCCATACGCTCTTTTGACATTAATCCCATAGAACACTGATGGGACATGATAAAGAGACGGGTTAATACCTTCCCCGGTACCGTCAAGCGTTAAACATCTTCAAACTGCTCTTGTTGAAGACTGGGATTCTGTCATGACTTCTGATGACGTTTAATTTGGTTTTCATTAGAATGACAACCTTGTGATTCTTATAACAATAAAAATACAGTTTAAAATAAACAACAAAACAAGGTTGTCCGGATTTTTTGTCTTTGAGTATATAATAGTACCAAGTTGTAGTACAATAGTTTTAACATTTCACCTTGACTTAACTTTTTTGTTTTCTAACTAAATCTAAGACCAGAGGATTGGTGAATCATTTGTTTAGACGCTTGACAAAACTGAATAGTTTATTTTCTGGCGCCTGCAACCTGAAAAGAGGAAGAATTTGTCCTTCGCTCGTCCCTCTATTGTACTGTTCGAACGGCCACAATCAACATTTTAATTTCACTGGATTTCAATAGCGCGTAATAACATTTTTTTAACATGAAACTAATTTAAATATTTTTAAGGAAAACCAGTCCATTTGTAAGTACATTGAGACGTTAAAATTCATGGCCCCTGGCGCCCCTTAAAATCGTTCTTTATTGTATTTTTATGTGTTGACGTTTTATTTTTCTTGTTTCTCTTATTAATTTAAGATAGTCTGTATAAAATTAACAGTCAGACGTGTTAAGGTAGAACTATTGAAATAAATATGCTTTAACTTCGATTAAATTTCTCAATTTTTATTCAGAAATCGTGAGAAGCGGTTTGGTGTGATGTAGGTTTCAGAAAAACATTTTCTTTATCGTGCCAACGTTTCGATCTTTATTGAGATCATCTTCAGGGCCTGGGATTTGTAACATTGTTTACATTTAACAATTACATTTTGGATGTGGAAAAGTGAATTTATACAATGCAAAATATATATTTTTTTTATATTCAATCAAAGTATTTCTACTCAGAGTGTTTGTTTTCTGCGTAAGGTGCCATTCTTGCGTGTCGTGTTGGGAGTGCCAGTGAGATATTGCTGTTTTATGTTTATAAAATTTTAGAAATACTTTAGTTAGAAATACTTTGAATATTAATTTTTTTTGCATTGTATAAATTCACTTTTTCACATCCTAAATGTATTTGTTAAATGTAAACAATGTTTGTAAATCCCAGGCCCTGAAGATGATCTCAATAAAGATCGAAACGTTGGCACGATAAAGAAAATGTTTTTCTGAAACCTACATCACACCAGACCGCATCTCACGATTTCTGAATTATTATCGATTAACGGTCACTAATCACCATACATTTCTCAATTTTGTGACTTTTTTTAAAACAAAGCTTCAATAGGGATATTATGAGAGATGTTTTAACAAAGCCTCAATTAAATTTCTCAATTGTGAGTATTCATCCTGTTTCAGTCCTTGTCGATGTTGGGACGACAAGGGGATGTCCAGGTTGACGTGACACGGATTTGAACCAAACTTTTTTTGTTGATTCTTCTGTTTGCCAAAATATTGGACACGTATCCGCCATTTCTTGTGAATATGTCCTGGTTTCGCCTTTCGACTTTCAAAAAACTTTTGGGCGAAACCAGGGCCTATTCAGAAGTGGCTAAACCAAAAATGGGGCTGTATGTCAAATAGATAAAGCCAATTAAAAAAAAAAGTGTCGAACGTTTTGTTATATTTAGCGACTGGATTTTTATGCAGTTGCATATTTTGTTTGCCTCCACATACGACCGAGGAAATCAATTATCTATCCGTATCATGTATTTAGGAAGCCGTAGGTTAAATTTTTTAGAGCATATTTGAAGTATTTATTTATGTAAAATCGCATTTATCGCGCAAAATATTTAAAATGTTATATACTTATATTTTTTATTGTTTTTTTTTTCATTTTCCCAAATATTTTAAACATTTTTATAAGAAGATGATTTGATTCTACGTAGGCTAATTATAAGGTTTTTGAGTTTTTATAATTTATTATTATTTTTTGTAATTTGTAACCCACGCAGAGGTCCAGTAGAATTAATACTTCGTGGTGTAATAAAACGTTATTATATCATATGCATATGAATCTCCCTCTCTTTCTTTATCGCCATTTTACTTTTCTGCTCTCTCACCATGTGTGTGAAAGCTTTTTAAGGAGCGTCGGTGGCCGCAACGGTTTAGGCGTTGACTCGGCGCTAGTCACTGTAAGGTAAAGGTCCCGGGTTCGAATCCAGCGACCCTGCATTCGAACCCGACTTACAAATGGTAAAAGCAGTTGTTGCACATTCCTTTTCTTTCATCCTTCTTTCAGTTCTACTGTTTTAATTTGATTTACCAAATTAAGCATAACTGGTATTTGCTTAAACTAAAGGTACAAACAACAATTAAAATTTATCTATTTGTATTAGATTTCGTGGTCCGATTGACCAAATAAATTCTTTTTAATTAATTAATTTTTAATTAAGGTTTTGGTTGAGATAAAAAAGTCAGTGTCACGAGCGGGATTCGAACCCACGACTCTCGGTTAAATACGATGGGAGGTTAGAGTTCGAGTGGATCGAAGTCACGATAGCTCAAGAGGTAGAGCAGGGGCGTAATTAGCCGAGGTCGTGGGTTCGAATCCCGCTTGTGACACTAATTTTTTTATCTCAACCAAAACCTTAATTATCGATTAAAATATTATGACACAATATCTGAGCAGTGAAAATTTCGGCACCACGAACATTACCATCGAGGAAATTATGTTCATTTTGACAAACAACATGAGCTTATTTCATCAGCCGAGAATGATAACGTATAAAGGAAAGGTAAACTTTTGTTGGAATTTTTAAGTTTTATAAAAATTAAGACTCGTGGCTAAAAAACGTGTCATACCCCCAAAATTTAAGTAGAAATTTTAAGTAGTAAAATTTAAGTAGTACTAGTCAAAAAGTAGTAGGGCGATGTCAATAAGCTATTAGTAGAATAGATACCGCTATGTTGATTGGAAGTGTAAATTTAAAAAATTGGAAGGCGAATTTATAAAGTTGATGTGTTGTGAGTAAAGCATCCGATGTGAAAGGCGCCTTCATTATCTCTGCGTGGGGCATTTAACCTCGATTAATTGATCTTTTTTTAATGTTTATAAATGATTTCTATGTTTAGTCTCGGTTTCCCCACTAGTTCGTAAGTCTTGCAGAGTGGGAGGAGGTCGATAAGGGAGTCACACTCTTATCCACACTTTAAAATCAACCAGGCTCACGTACGGGGTTCATTCTTGTGCTAAGTTTCGTTGGAGTGCTGCAAGTTTCGGTGCGTCGCGAGTGCAGTGGAGAAGTAAAAAAAAAGTTCAAGCAGAGATCAAATCCGTCGTGTTATGAGGAAGGACTTTCTAACGAGAATAAGGCACACATCCTCCAACCACTTTTCCGAAATACTATCATAGGAATACATTTTTCAGGCATGATTCAAAAAAGAATATTTCTTCATGCTTAGTTCACCATTACATCTTGCCTTATGGTTTTTTACAGAATATCCCCGTAAGAAAAATATGGCCCCTACAAGCATGTGCTTAAACGGAAAAGATGTCGACAAAAGGCCGTTGAAACCGGGTCAGTATAGTCAAAAATTAAAAAAAAACCAAAAAAACAATCGAAGTAAATAAGTCATACATAAAATTTCTGCTTACATTATCGATTTCTATTTTTAGCTACCGGCCAGTTCGTCCCGCTGGTTGTGGTACTTGTCGGCCTTCCAGCACGCGGAAAAACCGTCCTCGCGCACAAACTGGAAAGATATTTAAACTGGATAGGTCATCACGCAAAAGGTATCGTGAATCACAGAAAAATACATTCTGCCAAAAATGTGCCACTGCTTTCTCCAGTTTCTTTATTTTTTAACGCTCGTCACGTTCCTGAAATATGCATTTGAATAAATTTAATTTGTATACTGTATGATTTCTAATTACATTTTGAGAAACTCAGTCTAATTGTAGTTTTTATTAATATTTTATAAGCGGTAAGACTCACTAATTTCTATCCTCTTCTATAAAGGTTATTTGTAAGTTTTCAAAGCTCTATTCTTCTACTGTTCATTTCATGTCTAATCGACTTTCTCTCTACATAAATTTTTCAATTAATTAATCATTTATATAAGGCATTAGTTGAGATAAAAGTCAGTGTCACGAGCGGGATTCGAACCCACGACCCTCGGCTAAATACGCCGCCTCTCTACCACTTGTCCAGGGTCGTGGGTTCGAATCCCGCTCGTAACACTGACTTTTTTACCTCAACCAACACCTTATATAAAAAATTAATTAATTGAAAAACGTTATTCGGTCAATCAGGCTACCCACTCTAATGAATCTCTACATAAAATTCGCCTTTATAGCAAATCTGGATTGTATTAGTATACGAGTTAGAAAAAAAAACCTTACTTCTGTAATTAATAATATCAAAAATCTTCTTTACATAAGATAAACTATAAAAAAATTATAATCCGTGCTTTTATTTTTCTAGTCATTAGTTTGAGCACATACAGAAGAAAGTATTTTTCTAAATACGACAGCAACGTCATATTCGATATTGAAAATCCAGATTCATCCAGCCTGAGGAAACAGTACACCCACGATGCCATTCAGAGTACAAAAGACTGGCTGGAAGTCGAAGGTGACATAGCCGTAAGTATGGACAGATCTCATATAAATGCAATTCCTATAGTTGAAAAATTTTATTTTAGATTTTGGACGGTACTCATGGATCTCAAGACATCCGCCAACTGCTGAGGACGTTGTTTGTCAAGCAGTTGGGCTACAAACTGCTCTTCATCGAATGCGAAATAGATGACAATAAATTAATTGAAGATAATATCAAAGTTAGCGGTTTTTTTTTCTTTTTAAAAATATTTTTATCACAAATGTATGTTTTAATATAGGAAACGATACAAATATGCGAGGATTATTCTGGAATGGATTATAACGACGCTTTGAAAGATCTGCGTACCAAAATCGACATATTTAGCAAATATTACACCTCTATAAGCCCCAAGGAGGAAGAGAATTGCAGTTATATCAAATTTCACAACGCAGGGGAAAACATTTCTGTGCACAGATTGGACGGTCCTTACCAGACAAAGGTCCTCGAATTCGTTTCCTGTTTCAGACCTGTAAAGAAGACTCTTTTCTTCACCAGGGTAGGTAGAGGAAAATAAAGGATGGAATGAAATAATTTTGTCATTTTTATTTTTGCTTGTGCAGCACGGTGAAAGCGAGTTCAACCTTTTAGGAAGGATCGGAGGCGATACGAACCTGTCTTCGAGAGGCCATACATATGCTAATTCTCTCGCTGAATATTTTAACAAAGCCGAAATAAACAATCTGAGGGTTTGGACGAGCGAAAAGAAAAGAACGAAGCAAACAGCCGAAGGAATCAAAGCCCCGGTGGAACATCTGCTCGCACTAAATGAACTTGATGCTGTAAGAACTATTGTTTTCAATTATGTATTTTTCAAGCCTATTCAGCTATCTATTATCCAGTTAATTTTCTCCTATTGCAACATAGATCCTTTGTTTTTAAACTTTTACTCTTGCAAGCAATTCAACTGAATGCCTGATTTTCAATTAGAAGCGACAAAAAGACGAACTGCACACTCACCGTCCAAAAATTATATAAATTTTAAAAGTTTCAATTCACTATTTTAAGTCATTTTTACACAAGCAGTTCGACCATCTCACATTCTTTGTCCTTGATTGGAAGTTATCTTCTTCGAAGGAACTACATATCAGAAGGCAAACCGGTTTGGGGTTGAACGGAGATATTAACTTGTTTTTGTCCAGAAAACCCGAAATAGAACAGCCTCAACCTAAAATTGCTTAACATTCAACTATGCACGGCAATCACAAAAACTGTACCACCCAATTTTAATGATAAAAAGTTTATCCCAGTGACTATTTATCTTCAATAAACTTTACAACCCTTTATTAAAAAAAGTCGATTAGACAATTGTTTTAATGAAATTTCTTTAGTTTAGGCAAAAAACAATTTAAAATTAAAATTAAAATTAACAAAACAAATTGTAGAACAATTACTTTATTTTTTCATTTGAAATTGAACTTATTTTTTAATTAATTAATTAATTAATTTTAAAAAAATCATTTCGAAATGTGTGGCGTTTGTTGACCTCTACTTAATGATAATTTGGAGGTCGTGAGATGCGGTCCGGTGTGACTTAGGTTTTAGAAAAACATTTTCTTTATCGTGCGACGTTTCGATCTTTATTGAGATCATCTTCAGGGCCTGGGATTTATAAACATTGTTTAAATTTTTCAAATAGATGTAGGATGTGAAAAAAATGAATTTATACAATGCAAGAAAATTGTAGATAAAAACAATGAATTTATACAATACTAGAAAATTTTGGATAAAAAAAATGAATTTATACAATGCTAGAAAATTTTAAATAAAAAAATGAATTTATACAATGCTAGAAAATTTTAATAAAAAAATGAATTTATACAATGCTAGAAAATTTTAGATTAAAAAAAATGAATTTATACAATGCTAGAAAATTTTAGATTAAAAAAATGAATTTACACAAAGCTAGAAAAAATTAGACAAAAAATGAATTTATACAATGCTAGAAAATTTTAGATTAAAAAAATGAATTTATACAATGCTAGAAAAATTTAGATAAAAAATGAATTTATACAATGCTAGAAAAATTTAGATAAAAAATGAATTTATACAATGCTAGAAAATTTTAGATTAAAAAAATGAATTTATACAATGCTAGAAAAATTTAGATAAAAAATGAATGGATACAATGTGTGGTGATTAGTGACCGTTAATCAATATTTATTTAGAAATCGTGAGATGCGGTCTGGTGTGATTTAGGTTTCAGAAAAACATTTTCTTTATTGTGCCAACGTTTCGATCGTTATTGCGATCATCTTCAGCGCCTGGGATTTACAAACATTGTTTACATATAACAATTACATTTTGGATGTGTAAAAGTGAATTTATACAATGCAAAATATATTTTTTTATATACTCAATCAAAGTATTTCTAATGTTGGCACGATAAAGAAAATGTTTTTCTGAAACCCACATCACACCAGACCGCATCTCACGATTTCTAAATAATTTTATACAATGCTAGAAAATTTTAAATAAAAAAATGAATTTACACAAAGCTAGAAAAAATTAGACAAAAAATGAATTTATACAATGCTAGAAAATTTTAGATAAAAAAATTTATACAACGCTAAAAAATTTTAGATTAAAAAAATGTATACGATGCTAGAAAATTTTAGATTAAAAAATTTATACAACGCTAGAAAATTTTACATAAAAAAAATTTATACGATGCTAGTAAAAATTAGATAAAAAAATGAATTTATACAATGCTAGAAAATTTTAGATAAAAAATTTAGATTAAAAAATGTATACAATGCTAGAAAATTTTACATAAAAAAATGTATACAACGCTAGAAAATTTTACATAAAAAAGTTTATACAATGCTAGAAAATCTTAGTTTAAAAAAATGAATTTATACATTTTTTCATCTAGAATTCATACAATGCTACAAATTTTTTAGATTCAATCAAAGTATTTTGCGTGAGTACAACTACTTTGATTGAATCTAAATATTTTCTAGCATTGTATAATTTTTTTAATCTGAAATTTTTTAGCATTGCATAAACACATTTATTTAATCTAAAATTTTCTGGCATTGTACAAATTCATTTTTTTTCACATCCTACATGTATTTGTAAAATTTAAACAATGTTTATAAATCCCAGGCCCTGAAGATGATCTCAATAAAGATCGAAACGTTGGCACGAAAAAGAAAATGCTTTTCTAAAACCTACGTCACACCAGACCGCATCTCAAGACCTCCAAATAATTATTCATTTATTAGTAACTAGACCAACTTTTGTGCAAAAAGACACTCCAGCTTTTCGGTGTATATTAGTCCGTAGCATTCCATAAAACCGTGTAATCATCAAATGTCTCTCTTTTACTTGGTTTGTCTAAAGGTGTAAATTCTGCTCATCTTCAAGCCTAGGTGTTCTCCTCGCTACCTGGCCAGCCCACTACTATTTGAGCCGCTTTCATCACATCCTCAGTCCTTGTTTTCCTGATATCAGGAATTACTTTTTGGTTCTTCTTGATACTTAGCATACTTCTCTTCATTGAACATTGCGTGAAAGAAAGTAAATGTGTCACTCTCCTAGTCATTGTCCAAACTTTGCAACGCCTCTTATAATTTAACAGCCAATGAGCCGTGCTTTTTATTATTTTTTTTATTAATATTAATAAAAGCAAACCATTAAGGATCATAATCTGCCTTGAAGAGAAATATGTTTAGGGTGGCGAGAGGGCCAATAATAATGCCTCAGCTGTAAAATTTTAGTGAATAGACCAGTCACCTCTGTGTCCAAGACTTAATCTGTCCCAAACTACCCTAAACACCACAAGCACTCTTTTCCGGCGCAAATCGAAGTAAGAATACGTTTCGTATCGGTAGAGCTTCTCTTCCCATCAGACAATGCGTGAGTCTGCAATGACCTATTCTGAGGCGAGCTAGGACCGTTTTTTCCGTATGGGAGGTTCAAGTGGCGGTGGACCATTGTTTTAAATCTTCCTTAATTTCTCCCAGCTTGTTAAGGGTCATTTCACGCCATTCATTATGCCACTTTTCCCAAATTGGCATTCTTGATATGGGTGAGTCTTCCCCAGATCCCTTCCCGATCTGGCCTCCGCGTCAGCAAGAACGTTGCCACGAATCACAATGACCTGCAATCCATATGGAGAAGACAGTAACATTTTTCTAATGAATTTCCCTCAGGGCTAGGAGTATTTCTTGAATTACGGGATTAAGGGAGAATTGATGGCCAGCAGCGCAGCTAGAGAATCCCTGACACACGACTAGTCTTTGTGTGATTGTATTGCTTATAAATAGGTATTTGAGGCTCCAGAAATTTGTCCATGCTATTCCAGTGCACTCTTTAAATAAGATCAGTTGTGCAAGAATATGAGTTTTCGACCCATTTTAATCTAGACCTTTGACTAAGGTTAGTACTACTAGGTTTGACTAAAGTAAGTACTTTGCCAAGTGAGCCCAGTTACCTGTACAGCTGTTTTCAAATTTTCTCTTAATCAAGTGGAATTAAATGAGTTTTTTTTAGCATTCAAACAGCATTGATTAAGCTGAGCGATGTCGTCCAAAGGGGTGTGGATCACTGTAATGGTGGAAGCAGGCGATCATAGGAAAACAAAATTAGTTCTCGTTGTTTTATATATTTATATTTTTTTTTACTAGAGGAAACACACTAAAAAGTTCAGACATGTACAAAATATTCTCATGATTATTTGAAAAAAATTGGTGTATAAAGTAATCAATAGAACTAATAGCGTTATCTGATCAACTTTATTGATTAAGTAAATCTTAATTAAAATTAATTAACTGGGATTTTGTTAGATAAGGTATCACTAGTGGGGCGTCGGTGGCCGCAACGGTTTAAGGTCGATTCATATCTACCAGCACAAGAGCGTGCCCAGCACGTAGCGTAATTTGTAATACACGGACGTGGAAAGAATCCTGTCCATTGGTTTTCTGAAGAATAGTTTGTTGGTCTGTAGGTGACTGTTGCTGTGATTACCGCATAGTACTAGTGTCTGTGCCGTGTTTCCCACGCTACGTGCTTTTCACGCTCTTCTGCTGGTAGATATGAATCGACCTTTAGGCGTTGACACGGCGCTCATCACTGTAAGGTAAAAGGTCCCGGGTTCGAATCCAGCGGCCGTGCATTCGAACCCGACATACGTTACAAATGGGCTTTTTTCAAAAACATCGGCACCCTGAGGGTTTATATGACCTCTGCTGTTGCGAACCCTCGTAAAACAAAGAAAAATCTAATTTAAAGTATCACTAACGTCCACGGATGAATAGGAACCAGTAAAGAAATCAAGATTCATTTTACCGTTATGACTGACGCCTCGACAAAATTAACATCTTTTGAATTGTACATATTTTTATAATGATATTTCCAACATTTGACACATTTTTGACCGGATACTGGACACTTGAAACGATGTACTTGACCACAATGATGGCACCTGGTTGTGAAGTTGAATTTTGGAGACGGACGAGTTTAGCAGCGACCAAAATCAAAGTGCTGATGCTTGGAGCTATGGTCAGCAAAATTTTAACTAGATCGATTAGTTGAGGGGTTTCTGGTGATTTATTTAGCGATGACTGAGTATCCCTTATATGGACTTTCATTCGCCTTTTCCCTCTTCCTCCATTAACTAATTATGTTACTAACAATTTCCCGAATCCTTTTTTTCTTTTCGTACAGAGGATGTACTATTTTTCTTTGTTCAAAAGTGGTATTTTTCGATTTGGGGCCCATTTTGTTACTATCAACTAATTGAAAGACAATAAATTTGAGCATTGTGCTTGAGCTCGGCAGCGAGTATTTTGGTCCCCTGTTCAGGTTCTTGGAGGAAAGTGGGTTGTTCTATTGTGTATAGTAATAATAGTTATGTATACCTAGTTTCTATTGAATGATTAATTAGCGCGTATGTGTAATGTGAGAGGGCCGATGGCCCAATATCGAGTACCCCATTGACCCTCAATTACGTTAGTTTTATAATATGTGTATAGGTGGTGTTGAGAGTGAATGTATTTATTACCGTGAATGTGTGATGTGAGAGGGTTGATGGCCGAATTTCGAGAACCCCATCGACCCTTAATTAGGTTAGTTGTATAATATTTGTAAAGGGCTATGGACGAATATCGAGTACTCATCACTCTCATCATTAAGGGAGAATTTCTCCCAGAGTATAACAAGTTTTCTTTCAAAGTTTAAATCTGAGAGACCTGGATGAACATTGCTCATAAAATTTCTTGTTCTTGAGATTATGAAATTGCTTCCAGTCAACTTTGATCTTTTGTTGTTTGGTCTTGTCAGATGGGTTTCATTTATCAGCATTTTGGTTGTTTTGTAAAGTTTCTGATTAAAAAACAAAGAAGGTTGACACAATGCAACATGACAATTTATTCTATTCCCCATCAGATAATGTGTCACATACAGTGTGACCAGGTGGATGAAATATATAGAAATTTAATTTCCTCCCCTCCTTCCAGGGAATTTGTGAAGGGATGACCTATGAAGAAATGCAGGAAAAATTCCCCCAGGAATTTGCTTGGAGGGATCAGGACAAACTGAGATACAGATACCCTTGGGGAGAATCATATGTGGACATCATGACCCGCCTTGAGCCGGTTCTCCTAGAACTGGAACGAGAAGATTCCGTGCTCGTCATCAGCCACCAAGCAGTACTTCGTTGCGTCTTGGGCTACTTCCTCAACACAAACCCTGGTTGGTTCACCACTTTCCTTTTCAATTACACTCAATAATCTTCATGTTTTTCCAGACCGTCTTCCTTACCTCAATGTCCCTCTGCACAAGATAATCAAATTGACAAGTAGAGGATACGAGTGCGACATTGAACACATCAGCCTGAATGTCGCCTGTGTTGACACTTACAGACAACAGCCTACTGTAAGTCCTTCCTTTAACAATTAAGATGTTGAATTTAATAAAATTGTGTTGCAGAACTGTTCTGCAGATAGGTCAACTGATGATGTTTTAATTACCATTCCAAAACACTATGACAACCTGAAACCACGGCCAATGGAACCAACACTTGTCAATTCTATGAACTGATCTCAACATTTAAGCTGCAATTTGTATAACATTTGGTGCTGAATCTTTTAAAAAATAAGTTGAACAATTTAAAACACGAGACTGAAATATTGATTATAATTATATAATTAATACCTCACTTAATCATAAATTCTATGTAGTGAAATTATGAAATTTCAAATTAATGTAGAGAATATTTAATTTTTTTTTACGTGTTTTTAAAATATAATAAACATGTTATATTACAATACTTTTGATATATCCTCTCAAATAATTCCTAAGCATTGAATAAGAAGCTCAAAAAACTGACAGTCCAACAAAATTAAGCATACTGCAGGGTGCTGAAAGTAGAATTGAACAAGGCTACAGAAAATGAATACCTAAACTGGTATAATAATATGTCTAAATCCATGGAATAAGCAGCAAAAACTAGAATAGTTTATCATTTCAAAAAGGAAGAAATAAGTTTATCTTATAGAAATGATAAATAATAGATTAAGTGTGTCCAAGAACAAATGTGACTTGAGAACTTTTAGTTATTCAGTTTTGGAAAAGCAGTATGAACAATTAAAAAATGAGTGATGGCATAGATCAAAAAATTCCTAAATCCTTCAATAGGTCTAGTTAGGTTAACTAGATGTATAAATCCATACACGTTTAGCGGTCATAATTGTCCTGATTAATTATTTCAATTAATTATTCTTTTTATCTAAGATCTCAGTTGAGATGAAAAATTAGTGTCACGAGTGAGATTCAAACCCACGACCTTCTGCTCAATACGCTGTTCTTCAAACCACTTGAGCTATCTTGACTTTGAATCCCGTTTGTGACGCATACTTTTTCATCTTAATCAAGACTTTGGATAAAAAGAATAATTTATTGAATTAAATATATATTTGTTATTTTCCACATGTCTTTCAGTACATGGATGATGATTAACGTATGACTAAAATAGTTGAAAATTAAGTGTTTTTCTCTTTATCCTGTGTTTGAGTTTCTTTTTGGTAGAATATTAAACAAACTGGTCTTTCTTGTTGCGTATATATTTCAGAACGACCTAACTGAAAATAATTAAAAAAAAAAAATTTAAAAGCCGGTCGGTCGGCCTGGACGGAGGCAATTATTTCTTGCTTTCCTTTTAAAATTGCAATTCTTTGAGGAGAGACAATTGGTTTTTTGAAGGATAAAAATGCTATGGTAGAGTAAGTGAGACTGGTAGGGTTTGCTGATGATGGGCGAGAAATTGCCCAAAACAGAAGAAAAAAGTTTTTGAAATAAAGTAATCCTTTATATAAAAAATAAAAAACCACGCGCTTCTTGGAATAAACCCTAATTTCTAAACACCTTTTAGGAAAATGATAAACTATAATAAAATAGTTTGCATGTTCATTTTATAAAGGCGCAAATAAGCAAATCTTGGCCAATGAAAGATGACCAACTGCTTCTTTGGCTGTGCTTTGCTTAGGCTTAGTACACATGAAGCGTTTTCTAATGGTACACTATACATGGTAGTGCACGATTTGAGATTCTCCTCACTAAGCAAGTTTCACCACCCGAGTCGAGATACAAAAATTGGTTTGTTCAGATGACATCAACCACCATGTTCTTCACATTCTAGTGATTTAGTGGTTTTACCATCGAGCAGTTCATCATCACATATGGAACTTTCAACTTGTTCTCCAATGCCTTTTTAAAATGTGTTGTGTTTAGTGACCGTTACTTGATGATTGTTTGGAGGTCGTGAGATGCGGTTTTTAAAAGTTGATCCATTCTTGTGGAAATAAACAACTTCTTCAACTTCCATTGTAAAATTGTTCTTGTCCAAGCACTCCATGTGTCACAAGTGCCTGTTTATGCTTGATTCAACGCCCCATGTGCATGGGAGGTGAATCAGAGCCAATGAAGCAGTTGGCCTTGGTCAAGGTTCAGATTTCTGGCGGTAACATCAAAAGGATTGACACTGACTGCGACCACACGGTGGAATCCCTTGATTTGACGAGGATGGCCAATGTGTTGGTGACCAACATTTGACCCAATATATTCGTTGGGAGAGATTTGCTTGGTGTGTACATGCCTTAATGAAACATACTTACTAAAATAAAATAATACATATATAATTAAAAAGAAAATTATTTATTACAAAAAAGTTAAAATTAAAACAACAAATGTACATATACCAATTATATACAGATTTATTATAAACTAAAAATGTACTACTTATCATACAATATTATTTAAATTAATATTGATCTCCGTAATAATTTCCTGAGTTTCTTGGAGGGACTTGATTAAAATTTTGTGTAGGATAATTTTGGTTGCCTGTTGTATACTGGTGTTGTGCATTAGAAAATCTCCCCCTCCCTCTATTATCTATGTCATCGTATTGCCAGTTTTGTCGGTAATTGTAAGCATCCATATATCGATCGTCGGGTTTGATTGCCGATCCTCTTGATGTAAATCTAGTATAGTCTTCCCTTTTGCTACATGGCTGTTGGTCATCATTACAATTAAAATTATCCGAAAACATGTCAAGACCCACCGTTGATGTTTGCATGTTGGAATTAATGATTTCTGGAGAGAAAAGTGATCCTTTATTTTCACGAGTGTCCTTAGTGAAATGAATATCAGTGTACTCACTGGCCACTAGATTATGGTCAGATGTTTGAGACACTCGTGGTTGTGGCTGTGGCTGTTCTGGTGTGGTTACTCTATCATGCATTTTTAAACCAAATGGATAATTACCGTCTTCATGTGTACTGATATTCTTTTTGAACTCTGCTTCCTTAAAATTTAGTTTTTCTGAGGCTGCTTTATACACATCTTCAAAACTATAATCATCATCATCGTCGTCATCATCACTTGGAATGTTTTTTGAATTAATTTCTTTTAAATTTAATTCTTCATCATGAGATGGATTCGAGTTTCCTATCCTGGATGAAAATGGAGATAGGCGACTTAATTTTGCTGGAGGTTCATCTCTCTCGTGCTCGTCAATGGTTTTAATTTCACCTTTCTTGGTCAAACCAATTGAGACATATTTTCTCAAACCTTCTACTCTACTGGGTTGAGTCGATTCTAGATCTTTTAGCATGGCGATTAATTCCTGCTGCTCTTCCCTACAGAGGTTGCTGAAGTTGATCAATTTTTCTTTTAATTTTTCATCCGATTCATAACCACCCTGAACATTTGACAATACATCTTTGTTATTGACGAGTGGTGTTTTACCAGATGTCATCGCTGGTATTTCTATAGGTGGTACTGTGTTAATAGGGGTCCCGGATGTTTGTGCTGTCCCTGTTGAAACATTAGCGTTCTTTTGTACTGTGGATATCATATTTCCTAAAATCTCATTTATGTGAGACGTAGCAGTTGAATTTTTCATATTTAACTGAGAGAAAAAATCTGCAGTTGAAGTATCCTGGCTTACAATTGCATTTGATGCCCTGGCAATGCCCACTACTGCATTGATCAAATCTTCTAATTCTTCCTGGCTTAGATCAGTTTTACCTTGTGCCACCAAAGCACCAGCTATCTGTTGAGCCACGGCTATTTTGTCTACCATTCCTATGCCTGGCACTTGAACCGGTTCAGATATAGGTTGAGCAGGGGGTACAATATCTCTTTGAACCAGTGTGGGAAGCGGGTTTTGAAGATTTTGTGGTGGGAGTCTAGGCTTGGGTGAATGTGTACGGAGCATGTTATCAATCGCACCAATAACAGAATAACACGAATTTACTAATCCTCTTTCGACAATCCCAGCTAAAAGTTGTCCCCTTATTTTCTCTTTTACCGTATCAAAGAATATATGAATGTCTTGATCGTCTAGTAGTGTCATGGACTCATTCGGCTTTGTTCTTTCAAGCGACAGAGCTCTGGCAAGCAAGTCAAGGGCCTTCGGTCCAAGCGAACCGAGTTGGTTTTCAAGAACAGCGAGAGTCCTTAAACAATGAACTACAGGTGGAGAAATGGTGAAATGGGTAGACCTATTCGGAATGACTTTTTTCTTTGACAATTTATCATAATATGGATTTTCACTTTCATCCCATGAAGATGAATATTTATCTAAACACTTTTCAGGTGGTGCGGAAATCTCACTGCCAGTGAGCGCCTTCCAAGTATTTCTTATATCATCAACAGTCACATCTCTAGATTCTTCTGGCGTTGGAGGTGAAATATCTTGTAAATCGCTGCTAGGTCCTCGCATATTTTTAATCCCCATTTCTTTTGTTAAATCTTCTTTTTTCTTATTGAATTCATCGTCGTTAATTTCTTTCATCCTTTTACCCCAGAAAACTATCCACTCAGGCTTGAAATCATACGTTGAAGGGTCTTTGCCAGACTGTTGAATCTCTTTGTATCTTCTGTTCCAAAAATTTTTCCACTCTTCTGAATATGAAGGATGCTTTTCTGGCCGATCTTCGTAATATTTCAGTTTTTCATCATATTCCATTTCAAGCTTTTTGAGTTCGGCTCTGTAGGTGATCATTTTTTTCTGTTCTTCTGACTCCCTATTCATCCCTGTTTCTATTGTTTTACTTCTCCTCCTATCTGGCGATCTTTCTCGTCGCCTAGGTGAAAATCTTCTCCTGCAAACAAGGAAAACAAATATTTAATACAAAGTAATACTAACGCATTTGTACCAAGCATGTAGTTAAGTATTTAATGTAAAATTTCGATTACCCGCTCACCTTTCATAAGATCTTTCTGGAGTGTAATCTCTTCGTTTTTCTCTTTCCTCACTATATCTGCAATGACAAAAATTGATATAATTATATTGCGGCAATATTGTTTAATTCTGAATGATCTTATGTTATTAACCTTCTCCTCGAATGACTCCTTCTGTATCCTCTATCTCTATATCTTTCTCTAGAGCGGGATCTACTTCTTCTTGATCTAACATAATTACTGTAACTAGGTGATCGTCGCCTAGATCTATACTCAGGAGATCTATTTCTTCTATATCGATTATACGGACTCTTGCCTTTCCTTTTGCTATTGTCTCTTCCTAATGAATCATTATCAGAAACAGATGATATTGAAGATAATGATTTCACTTCAATGCACTCCTCATCTATTTAAAAATACTCGTTAATTAAAAAAAACACTATATATATAAAAAAACAATTACCTTCTACAAAAATTACATCATCGTCATCGTTTTCTTCATCGTCTTTATTTGATTCTTTCTTTTGCTCTGCTTGTTTCTGTTGATCTGTTAGTTTATTGTTTCTGCCTAAGGATTTTGCCGGCTTTCCGATTTGAAAAGCTAATTTTTTTTCTGATTTTTGTGGTCCTTTGTTTGTAGTTTTACACGAATTATTTTGCTTGTTGGGCGATGAATTGGGTTGATTTTGTGGAGAGTTGTTAAGTGAAGGTGCAGAGAGATTCTTTTGAACATTCACCAAAGGAGGAGGAACAATTTTAGGTGGATTGATAAGCGGAGGAGGAACTTTCTGGTGTGGGTTTTTAAGAGGAGGTAAGCTCTCGAGTGGTTTAAGAGGAGGAAATCCTTTTGAAAATTGTGGATATTTGGGACCACTAAACATGAAAAATCAATGTATTATTAAAAATTTAATTTCATAAGTAAATATTCTCTAATTAAACTAACCCGTATTTGGAAGTTAATATAGGTACATCAGCAACTTTTTTTACTTGGGACTGTAACCGCTGTTCTGTAAAGAAATTAATACATAAGTATTCTACAATAGGTATATTATCAATGTTAATCAGGCTTATTTGTCGTGCCCACCCATCTACAGTAAGTCCTTGATTAACATTGTGGTTAGAGGAAATGATGAATGATGGAGCGCAGTGTTCAATTCTTTTTTAAAAAAGATAGTTCCTACTCACAGTTGAAGGGCCCGAAATTGGTATCGTTGGAAAACAACTTACTATGAGCAGGAACTATTTTTAAAAAAGGATTGTGGTTAGGGACCTGGAAACAGCGACATTAAGTAAAATAATGTTAAAAGAACATTATCTGAATATATATATGAAGAAAACTAACAGAATCGACCGCTATGACAGGACTATTTACACTTAAGTAATTATAGAAATAAAATCAAGGTTTCCGAGAATCACGCTAACAAGAAACACAGTCAACCGTCATAACAGTATATTCGAGTGACTCAATGACACAATAAAACCGAGGACATACTGTACTCCATTTCAGCCCAAAATATTAAAATGATGTAATATCCTTATCAAGGCAATACATTCACATACTTTGGCCCAAAAGTAGGTCAAGTAAGTATGGTCTGTACTGACATTAGAAATGACATCCCTGCCCTGAGTGGTCTGTCTGATCCAAGAAGCTTGTTGCATATATGAGTAAGCTTTCTTTTATGTTCAGGCAGCAGCACTCCCAGCTGTCAGTGAACAGTTTATCCTAGTTTATTTTTAAACTTATGATTTTTCCTTCTTGAAGGAAGGAATAATAGGTCATCTCAAAAAAACTACAACCAGTGTTTATCCACAATGTTTCAGATTTATTTTAATCCTTCCTCAGGTGAGTTAACGAAATGGTTAAAACAGTGGTCGTCAGTCATTAATATTTTGTAACAGTTTATTTTAAAAATGAGCCAGTGTGGTACATATTTAATCTTTCAGACTCCGAACAAACGTTTTAATATTTTAAACCTGACTCTGAAATATTAAAACGTTTGTTCAGAGTCTGAAAGACTTAAATATGTACCACTGGCTCTTTTTTAAACTAAACTGTCATAAAATATTAATGACTGATGGCCACTGTTTTAACCATTGCGTTAACTCGCCTGAGGAAGGATTAAAATAAATCCGAAACATTGTGGATAAAACCTTGTAAGTTTTTTGAGATGACCTATTATCCCACTTTCAAGAAGGAAAAATCGTAAGTTAAACTGTTGAGGTCGAAATATAAGAAAATGTCGTTTATTTTTAAAACTGTCATCTCTAGGGACTAGATTTATATGTATTAATATTCTATTTTCTGCACCATGTATACTGTTTTTGAAACTTTTATTTTATGTTTTATGCTATTTAGAAGCAAATATATCCTATTTAATTTTACACATTTGTAAATATTTGGAGGATTTTACATTTAATTACATATTTTACCTTAATTTGTATATTTTGGTCCATATTTAATCAAATAAACAACTAAATTATTGTAATAAAAAAGTGTTTGAGAGAATTTAAAATGTCAAGATGTAAACAAAAAATTTGAGAACAGCCTGACCCCCTCATGTGTAGATGAGAATATGTATGTACTTCCATTGGATTGGTGCAAAATTAATGCAAGTTTTCAAAATTTGTTTTATTTTAGGAGGTGGCTATCATGTAAACAATGCTATATCCTCAAAATCTAATTTATGGATTTTAATAAATACTTTTAATTGTTATATTTTATACAAAAAATTTTATTTTATGTTGAATTTTATACGAGTAGGAACCTGCAAAATTAAATGAAGCCCAAAAAAAATTGATGCTTTGAAATTTGCACATCTCTTCTGTTGCGCCACCAAAAAGATCGAATCATTACGTGCGATGAAAAAGGGATTCTGTACGATAATAAGAGGCTTACAGGTCAGTGGTTGGACAAAGAAAGCTCCGAAACACTTTCTGGAACCAAATGTGCACCCAACAAAGGTTATGGTGACTTTGCTGCTCACTACAATTTCCTGAATTATGGTGGAACTATCACAGCAGAGAAATATTGCTAAGAAATTGACAAAACGCACGGGAAACTACGTCTTTGTCCAGCATTGGTAATCTGTAAAGGGCCAATTGTTCTTCCCAATAACGCCAGGCCACATGTCGCAATGCCAACCATACGGAAACTAGGACGTAGGATATGAAACCTTATCGCACCCTCCAAATTTACTCGTCCTCGCACCTACAGATTTCCACTTTTTTAGGCTTTTGATTACATCTTGAAGGATAATTTTTTTTTTTTTTAGAGAATGCAGTGTAGCCAAAAACTCCTTCTTAGGCTTATCAGTGGAATAAAAGCCATAAATTATTACATGTTGGCAAAGATGTATAGATTGTTAAAGATATTTCAAATAAATTTTCTTTATTTTATAAAAATTAAAAATAGTTTTGACTGCCTTTTCAAAACCTGCATTATTTTTGCACCAGCCCAAATTAGGAATTAAATTTTCCTGGAAGCTCGCAACTTGTCACCTGTGCTTTCATTGCAATAATCATAATCCCATTCCATTATTCCATTTTGAGACTGGAGACATTGCATCGCTCTTTTATGAACAAGATACATTTACATATAAAATACCAAAAGTTAAATCAAAGATCAATATAATTTTACTTTCAAAAATTAAAAATTTATTACCATTTCAATAAATAATTTTGAAAAAAAAAATTAAATTTTTAAAACACATTTTTCAAAAATGCATTTTTATTTTATAGAATTTTTTTAGCATTAAAGATTCATTTTTATTTTAAAAAAATTGAAGTTATTAAAAAAATGAAAATTAAAGGTTTATTTTCTATTGTATTAGGTTATTTTCTTTTTATACATTATAAAATTCTTTTAAAAAATGCACAACTAAATATTTTATGATTTTTTAATTGTATACTTGTTAAAAAATAATTCTATACATGTGTACACATTTTATTTCACATATAAATCTTGCACCTAGTTATGTCCAATCAAATTTAGCTTATAAACTCTATCACTTTTTCCAGTTATGCCAATTAGTAAATTATTAGTTTTATTACCTTCTTCTGCAGCGTACTGCTTAATTTTGTTTATATCCACTAGATGAAGAAAAGCTGTAGATGGCGTCTCCCTACAAAGTGATCATAATATTATTTCAACTTTACAAAAAGATCTACTTTTTACTACCTGAAATGTTCTTTTTCATCAATTTCACGTAGTATTTCGTATTTTTTGGCAGAAAAAGTCTCTGCTATAGCAGAAGTAGGTTTCAACCTACCATAATTTTTCTCAATTTCTTCAGCGACTTTATTTATCGCGACATAAATTCCTTTACGGATTTCTGGTGTCCTTTGAAGCATATTTAAAGCGTTACCTGCACTTCTAAAGAAACAGCTCTAAAACAATTTTTTAATTAAGAATTCAAAATAATAAATAATACAAACGGTGATTCGATCTACATACAATATATTTGAGATAATGATTCTGGCTAGTCAGGTGCAACATGACGCTCCTTGGATCACCGCGCTTTTCACAGAGAAGGCAAGCATATCTTGGCTCCCCTTCGCCTGTTGAGCTTACCTGAGAATTTATTTAAATTATGTAATGCTATTAAAGGCCCTACTCACATAGGGGTGACTTGTTTAAACCTGAAAGTCTCTGAGTGACTGAGATACCCGGCAACCAAGAGACCATGTGTCATCAGCAGTGTCCCTCGGACAGGGATACTTTAATAGTGGCAATTCAAGTCACCTCCACATGTTTAAAGGTGACGACATGTTTGTCTCTAATCTTCCAGTCTCTTAGTTGCTTTCATACCACTGGCAAGCACAATGAATGAATAAAGCTGGGAACTGTCGGGTAGCATTGAGTACAGTCGAAGACGAAAGAACCGGACCCTCATATTTTTATTCAAACTACATGTATTATTGCCGTTATATTAATTACAACATACTTATTTTAATATAACCCAATTTGACCGAGATCAAAAATTCATGTTTTTATTTTAAAAAAATTAATTTTAATGGTTTGGTAGAAAATTGATTAAAACACCGGAATACCATTTTTTGATATAATGAATTTAACTAACAATTTATTACACAGTTTTGCTCATAAAATTTAACTAACAATTTATTTCATGGTTTTCCTCACACAATTACACCATTTTCGTCGAGTAGCATCAGAACAGGACACCCATATTTTTTGTAGTTTATTTCAAACTATGTATATGTAATTTTGTCGTTATACAATATTCTTATTTTAATATAAACCAAATTAAACAAGATCAAAAATTCATGAGTTTTTATAAAAATTATTTAATTATGATGGTTAGCCAGAAAATTTATCAAAACACCGGAATAAGTTTATTTAAAACAATTAAATTTAACTAACCATTTATTACATGGTTGTGCTCATAAAATTTAACGAACAATCTATTACATGGTTTTGCTCAAAATAATGCATTAAGAACGAAAGAGGCTTTGTGATTGTGATACTGATTTGTGATACACGCTATGGACTGTACGTGGCGTGCGCTTGATGTCGGATAGATGTGCACACCTTACCAAAACGTGGCAAGGCGTCGGGTAGCATTGAGTGTAACGGCTTTAGCATTCTATTTAAATTCACTAATTTCGTGGTCCGCTTGACCAATTCATATATTACAATTAATTACGGTTTTTAGTTGAGATAAAAAAGTCAATGGCAAAAACCCCACCTTTTGAATTTTCCCTCCTTTTTGCCATTTTTGAAATTTCATGTAATCTACTTGATTCTCGGCGACAAATGAAATGGCCATGGAGAGCATGATATTTGAAAAATGGCAAAAAGGAGGGAAAATTCAAAAGGTGTGGTTGAGATGGGAAGTTGGTGTCCGAGTGGATCGAGGTCACGACAGCTCGTGGTAGAGCAGCGGCGTATCAAGCCGAAGATCGTGGGTTCGAATCCCGCTCGTCCCATTGACTTTTTATCTCAACTAAAAACCTTAATTAATTGTAATATATTAATTGGTCAAGTGGACCACAAAATTAGTGAATTTAATGATTTAAAATGAAGTATACTTCACTAATGCCCCCGTGGCCATTTCATTTGTCGCCGAGAATCCAATCCGATTACACGACATTTGAAAAATGGCAAAAAGGAGGAAAAGTTCAAAAGGTGCGGTTCAGATGGGAAGTTAGTGTCCGAGTGGATCGAAGTCACGATAGCTCAAGTGGTAGAGCAGTGGCATATCAAGCCGAAGACCGTGGGTTCGAATCCCGCTCGTGCCATTGACTTTTTATCTCAACTAAAAACCTTAATTAATTCTAATATATTAATAGGTCAAGTGGACCACGAAATTAGTGAATTTAATGATTTAAAATGAAGTATACTTCACTAAAGCTCTCCGTGGCCATTTCATTTGTCGTCGAGAATCCAATCCGATTACACGACATTTGAAAAATGGCAAAATGGAGGGAAAATTCAAAAGGTGCGGTTCAGATGGGAAGTTGGTGTCTAAGTGGATCGAGGTCACGATAGCTCAAGTGGTAGAGCAGCGGTGTATCAAGCCGAAGATCGTGGGTTCGAATCTCGCTTGTGCCATTGACTTTTTTATTTCAACTAAAAACCTTAATTAATTGTAATTCAATTTAAAGTTTGTGACAGAAGTGGTGAAATTTCCCGTATTATACAGCTACAAGTTGAAATTTTTTTGCAGTTCTTTTATAACAACGGATAACCTACAAATTATAACAATTTTTAATGTAAGGATGTACCCACAACTTTTCTTGATCTGTAACTGCAATAATAATAATACTGCATTTACAATGTTAACATCACTAGACAATTTGTATATGGGAGTGAGGACACAATGAACCACACTTCGCCAAAAATATAAAACATTGATTTCTTATCTAAACCACAATCTACTTGGGAATATGGGTTACTAGAGTCCTGACTGTATGAAGGGGATGGGCTTCTCAAATTGTCCAGATGCCTGATCTCCTGGTTGCCAAGTAGCTGGAGATGGATGTGTGAATCCCCATGTGCATAGGGCTAAAGTCATAAAGTTATAATAAAACTACACTTACAAGCTCTACTATGTATTCAAGCCCTATTAATGGTGCAGCTTTGAAAGAGTCGAGTGTTTTTTGAATTTGACAAACACCTTCAACAATATCTTCCATTCCAGGAGGAACTGGCTCTCCTGGTAATATATCAGTCGCTACATCTGACCAAGAGGGATCTTTATCTGAAAAATTCATACATTAAAATAAAATATTACATATTAATCCATTAGTTTTCATTCTAAAAACCACTTGTTTTTGTTATTGCATAAATCTATTTTAATTATTTATTTGCAGGGTTAAAAACAACTATTTTAAATGTACTCCTGTGGTTTTAACCATATAATTACATATTAATAAAAATGTACTTTACCATTTGTATTTTCCTCTATGGTGGGTGAACCTAAAACGGTGTTTTACAGTTAGAGGGTTTGTTAACTCCGAATATGTACATTTATAAATTATATTAACCATTGGGCTTACTGCTAAATTTCTTAAAGTTGTTAGCAGGATGTTTAGGCACACGAAGATTGCTTTTGTGTATCGGGTGGCTAAGATGATTGAGCAAAGCTCTTTCGGATGAAATTGTTTTCCCACAAACATGGCAATGCCATCTGGGAACACACCCAATAGGGATGAGTTCGGTAATAACGTAACCGTATCTCTCATCGTCCAACTTAACTGTCTCTTGGAGAGCTTTTTTCACCTTGGAACTCCCCTAAAAACCAAAAATGGAAATTAATAACAATAATAATGTGTTTATATAAAATAATTATAATATATATTTTTTAAACACTATTAGACATGAATATAAAGTCGATCTGCCAAAAAATGGAAATAATATTAAATTCATATTATTTTGGTTCGCGCAGAATTTATTTTTGTACGTAGGAGTATTTTGTATGAGTTCTGTTTTAGTTTATCTCGTTTTTATCAACAGAATCCTTGTGCAAGATCAAGATAGTATAAATTTTAAAAAATATGACTCATTCAAGTCCCTTTTATAAAGACTGAGATTTATCTTACCCTAGCGTAATTTACTTAGCAACAAATAAAAGCAAACATCACATGACAGTTTGTAAATGCTACAATTTTAATTTTTAACATTAAAGCATGAACTACAATTTTTAAAATTAGCTCTCATTCATTAAGACTATGTAATGTATACAAATATTTAAGAGAAACGAAATTACTTTTTTCTTTCACACAAAGATTTGTATCACAGTAATAGGTCTGACTCAGACCACAGTACACAATCCTTCAGATAAAAAATAGCTCGTGTCAATTTGCTTAAAACTATAAAATGTTAACATTGTGTTCACTAAAAAAATTATTTTTCACGCTTTGAAAATACTGTCGAATCATACAAAATTACCTACCTTGAATTGGTAGAACAAAAAGAATAAAAACACTAAAAAAAAAACATATTTCACCCTAAAACAAAGGATAAAGGAAAGCCACATTTCCTGATTATAGTCTGTTAATCATAGTATGTTGAAAAAGAATCGATAACATCATCAATAAAAACTGTCAGCTCTATTATTAATTTCTTCCTTTCATATTTTCATTTAAAACTAGACATAGCAATTGTGCTAATGAGTACACTGGAAAATGAATGGTTGATGTTATTAAATATATAGCTGGAGTTTACAAACTACACATATTTAGAAATCGATTTATTAATAAATTAAAAATTTCCGCCTCCGTGGATACAGTCTTCATACAAACATGGTTTACTTACCAGAATTACAGATATCGGCAATTCTGAACAATCTCTGTTTAATGAATGCAAAAATTAAGATCACAGAAGGAAGGAACAGGGAAATCCAACAAGTTTTCATGCTTTAATTTAAATTCTGTAGTTTATAGACTATATATATGTATAAAAAATTACAATAATTTGCATTTTTATAATGAACATGAATTATATATATTTTTTAAACTGAATAACTTAATTAAAGAGAATATAATGAAATTGTATACTTTCCTGAAATGATATCTACCTGAGAATGATGATCCATAATACTTTTTTTTTTCACTTTTGAAGAATTTCACTGGTTAACTGCGCACTATTTAACTTATAGTTTTATTGCGGCTTTTCCTTAAGCCAACTGTAAATATAATAAATTTTTGTAAATACTTAGAAACAAATGTAAGAATATTTTTTCACATAGATTTAACTTAAAAAATACAAATAAAACATATAAGATGAGGAGAAAATGAAAAATTAAATATTAGTCAGTACAACTTAAACCTAATAAACTTACCCATTCGGTTCTTCAGGACGCCGGAAGAAACAAAATTCTTCATTGGCACATTCAAATTAGAATACGATGCACTTGAATGGATACATATGTAATTTTTCTCCCACTACTTTTCAGTATAGTTTTAAAATTGAGTTTGCATTGAGGCTAATATTAACTTAAATTACACTTCTGGTGAAAATTTACAGCAAGGATGATTTCATTTACATGGTAAAATTCATGTTTATCGGCAATAAATAAAAATTTTCAATTCAACGGAGTGATCAAGCAATCACATTTTGAATTTGAAAAAGATAAAAAAAGCAATATCAAAACTTCTGCTAAAATAATTTCTTAAACTTATAGAAGGTAAAAATAAACTATCGGCTTTATTAGCAAGGACAAGTTTCTGTTTTAAGTTGGATGTACAAATAATAATAAAAAAACCAAAATTAAATTAATTACGAGAAAAAAAGAATAGATCCTTATGTAGGTAATAAATAGAAGGCAACTATTATGCTGATAGTGTAGGATATGATACTGTAGATTTTGCAAATGACCTGATAACAATCATATAAAAGAAATTCGGACTGTCAAACCAGATGGAAAACACCCTAAATATTGTAGAAATATTGTGTGAGAAAATGGGTTTAAACATAAACCCTAAGAAAACATACCTCATATCTTTCACAAGAAGAAGAATCTACATCTAAAAGCACCCTCCAAAACGATGAAGCTTTAACTTAATCCAAAGAAATAAAGTACCAAAAGCTCAAATGGTGAAAAAAATCTGCATAAAGGCAAAGGCTTTACTAAGCATTGGCCAGAGATTATGTAGAAAAACTGGGGAATAAACCCCAGGATGGCGTATTGGTTATAGACAACTGTCCTTGGGACAAATATGGAGCTCTAGTGTGATGTCTAAAAACACCAAACAAGGAGACACAGATGAAGCTACAAAGACTATCGTGTCTTAATAAAACAAGGGCAATGTACAGAAAATAATATAAAGGTGGGGTGATTATGTCGATTCCATTTTTGTAAAGGATGGTTCTTACTCATAGGTTTTGTTGTTTACGAGTTGAATAAGAACCATCCTTTACAAAAAGGTTAAAAAAAAATGCAATGTACCTGCCAGCAATGGAAACACTCAACCTTCCACCTTTACATTTATGTATAAAAGATTTCTTTCAAAATGGCAACAGACGCCTGAGGTACAAGGAAATAAAGTATAATCTAAGGAAAAGCCACTACAAAATTCTGGCTAGAATTAAATTAAGTGAGATGGCTGTAACTGTACATGACAAAATGATAGAAAAACTCAACTGTGACAGACCCTTTCAAGTAGTCATAGATAATAGGAACCTTTGGAAGAAAAGTAGCCCAAAGTCTCAGGAAGGTGGTACACACATGAATGGAACAGGGAGTAAGTAGGTTGAGGGGTAAAATATATTAATTAATATTAAATACTAAACTTTAGTAGCAAAGCACCTTTGACTAATCCCAACAATTAGCAATTTTCCAACTTAGGTCCAAGCAATACAACTCTGTGCACAGGACTTAATAAAAAAAATGAAAGGTGCACAGATTTACTATATACTCTCAGACAGCCAGGCAGCTTATAAAGGCACTAAATGGTATGCTTCCAGCTTCAAACTTGTCTAGGAGTACCAAAATGGCCTAACGGCTCTAGGAAAACACATCAAGGTAACTGTGTAATGTGTTCTGGGACATGAAGATAAGGAATTGAATAGGTACTGACCAACTAGTAAAAAAAGGGCAGCCATCTCACCCATAGAACCAGAACCACAACTAGGCGTACCGGTGAGTGTTCTTAAATTGAAATGGAGAAAGGAAGTCTGTCTCTCTCAAGCGTGCAACAGTGTGAATAGAAAGGAAGCTTTAGCAGATTTAAGGGTGCTTGGTGTACCATGTAAGTTAATTAGGCTAATCGGTATGATGTGGCATAACACGAGCTACCAAGTCAAAGTGCAAAATACACTGTCGGAGGATCTTAAAGAAGATGCGGGCCTGCAGCAAGGAGACCTTCCCTTGTCATCTTCAATCTTTGTTTGGAAAGAGCAATACGGGCCATTAGATCAAACCCAGGTGGCACTATTTATAACAGATTGCTGCTACACACGATGTGGACGATGTATTGATTATAGCAAGAACAAAGGCGGCTCTGGGAGGAGCACTTCAGGAACTGCAAGAATCACGGTCTGAAAATTAACGAGGGTAAAACTAAGTATTTGAACACCTCGAGAACCCATGGATGTGGAGAAGGACCAGTTTAATTTGGAAACCATAGTTGCCAATAAGTATAATTTTAAATATCTAGGGTCCTTAGCCACAAAGAATAATGATAAAGGCAGAAATAAAGGCGAGAATAGCGGCAGGAAGTAGATGCCTGTTTACAAAAGGCTCAGTAGTTCAAGCACCTATGTTGCAAGGCTAAGATTATAGCTTACAAAGCGATTATAAGGCCAATAGTTATGTACGCTATCGAAACATGGGTGTTGAATAAAGAAAGATTAAAGGTTCTTGGTGTATGGGAAAGAAAAGTGCTAAGAAAAATATTCGGCCCTAAGTGTGTAAATGGCGAATGGAAAGTAGGCAAGAACGACGAATTAAAGCAATTATTTGGCGAGCCGGATATAGTTGCCCAAATAAAGATGGGAAGATTGGGATGGTTGGGTCACGTGGAGAGGATGCCTCAAGATAGGCTTCCAAGGAAACTCCTCTATGGGAAATCAGGAGGCTCAAGAATATGAGGACACCCTTGGCATAGGTCGTTGGATGATGTAGAGAATCTATGACAGACGAGTGTAAGGTAGCACCTCAAGGCCAAAGATCAAAATGAATGGAGAAAACTTATTGAGGAGGTCCAGGTCCAGCTCTAAGGACTATTTTACCGATTAGTAAGTAAGTAAATGAGGGTATTTCAATTACGAGATTATATGGACCCTTGGAGTATGGTGTTGTTTCGTTTTTCTTTTTTGGGGGAAGCCCATTTGTAAATATGTCAGGTTCGAATGGAGGGCCGCTGGATTCGAACTTGGGACCAAGTCAAGAACCTAATCCATTCCGATGCCCCCCCTCCAGGAAAGGATTTTTAAGGATTCTCCTTCCCCAAAAAATTGTTATATTATATAAGAGATTTAATTCTTAATTTTGTATATCTGAAGCTAATTCAGTCAAAAGAACATTATCAATAATACCAAAGTAAAATATAACACCGCTACATGCCAAATTTTGGTAGTTTATTTCAATATGAATGGTTTTGTTGCTTGTAAAACAAAACTAATAACATACTCGCAAAATAATTAATAACTTTGCCTTACCTGCAAGTAGAATGGATGTTTTCAAAAGCACTTATCACTTTTTAAGTATGTTATAATTGTTGTAGGCTCTTATTCCTTGTTATTTAAGGATCACGAGAAAGAATATTTTTCAAATGGTGAACTAGATTGATTTTAAATATCAGGTTTCCTTTGAAAAAGGAAATAATTTGTTAATTGTAATAATGAAGGCTAAAGAATGTAATAAAGAATTATCAGAGCATGAACTCAATAAGATATATCGTAATTTATAATTCATGTATGAGACATAAAATATATTTGTAAAAATGTCATCAACCTTCAACAATAAATACTACAATTAGGAAGAATTTGAGTTCAGTTGGTGGTAAAACAGTACAAAATATTCTTTATTTGACCTAATTTTATTATTTATTTTCATTAAGTGTAAAGCAAATATCACAATTATGAAAACATTACAGAATATTAATACAAGAAAAATGATTTAATTTTTAAGTTGGTTTGCATAATGTTTTTAATCTATCGAAAATTGCAAAAATGGCATACTGAAGGCTAGCAATGATGAATACATGATTTTATGAGTCAAACATTTATTTCTCAATTTGACAAGAGACATTCAAACATTTTTATCTGAGCGTATTACAACTATGTGGTTATATGAACCTTAGGGCTGCTCATAAAATTAATTACATTGGCAGAATTCTGAATAATTGTAAAATTAAGCATATAATAATATAAGTGTTAAATTAATAATTTAAATTTAAATTAATAATAATGAAAAAATAATAATTTAAATTTTTTGAATTTATTTTTAATCTGTCAAAGAACAAAAGTTATAAAAAGATGCCAAATTTAACTACCGAAAGGAATTATTTCGTAATTCTTTTGATTTTTTTAAAAAGTATATGCTGTTTTAACAATTAAATTATAATACTCTATATTTTCTGTTAATTATTTAAAAGTTTATTTTCATACTTTGTTTTGATGACGTTTCCACTATTGTTAAAACTATTGGGAGGGCTTTTAAACAGTATGAAAAAATCAGTGGGTATTCAGGATGTTGCAACCAAGGCACATATCTGAGGATGATCATTATATTGTACATCCCACTTACTGCTTTTTACATATTCACTCCACCTCAATTTTTATATTAATTCGCCCAGTTACTGGGTTAGGACGATGGTTACACCAGGTTAAAACTTTCTTATGCTGGCTTACAATCGATAAGACCAGAATTTTAGACATTTCACAACTAGATCATTCGGTTAGAGCACGAGTGGGATAAAATCCTGTTTTCCAACCAGCGAAAGTTGAGAGAGAACTGGAGAATGATATCCTAGATATCACTACAAAATCATATAAACATAATTAATGTACAAACTTGGTTTTTCAAATTCAAACATTTTATTGTAATTGTGTAAGATTTTTCTATACTTAACAAGACTTTATGTTTGAAAATCACACTAATTTCAAAAATGCCTAAATTTTTAAATTTTTGAGAAAATAGGGAATTCCTAAAAACTTACCAAATCTGACTTGACTTACAAT